GCTCAGCTACTCAATGAAGACATTTTTAGACAGCCAGAAGTATTTGCGGGGACTGGGGGCTGCTTGCTTCGTTTTGGTTTTTCTGGTAAGCACTGTACCACTGGGCTACAACTCCAGCCAGAAAATTCCCCCTCTTCTAGAAGCATTTATTGTAAAGTGGAAGAACATTCAGACTACCTTCACCTTCCCCACAGCAACATGCAGCAAATTCAAGAATATTTCTTGTGATTCTAAGGGGAAGAAAATATGGACCAAAAATATTATTCTTAGCCAAAATCCACTACAAATTTGCTCAAGGTTTTTGTTTTGTTTTGTTTTTTAATTTGAGGTTGGACTCAAACGCTCTAGGCCTGGTGAAGACTAATGGGTTCTCCAGCATGAAAGTCGTCAGAGAATACAGGGAGAAAACTTAACAAAGAAAACACAGTAAAGCAGGACAGAAATAAAGAGCTGAGGAATACAGACCATGTGAGACAGTGATGGTAAGTATTAAATTCTCCAAATAAGTAATTAAAACTCATTAATTATAAGGATTATGGTTACAGGACACAGTGCATATTATAAAATGAACAATAATATAATTAGTACCATAAGGAGGGGAAAAAGGTAAATGAGAACAAACGCGAGAGTTCTAATACCTTCATTTTTCATAGCAAAGAGTCAATAGATACTGTCTGAAAAGAAAACAAGTAACTCACGAGCTATTTTCTTTACTAAGTAATTAGCTCTGTGAATAACACATTTCTTTAAAGCTTCATGTTCTCTTTAATTTTATGGTAGTTTCTTCTTCCACTGAATTCACAGAAATTATAATACTTTTTCCATACAAGTCTTTCTACTTCTCCATATTCATTTATGAGGGGCTATCTATGGCTGAAAAGTATATGGAATAATGTTCACATGATGCTGCTGATGGATTTATCTGAGGGTAAAACTGAAGCATGAAATGGTTTTCATTTGCTTTTCTTTGATGGGGGAATGGAGCTGCTGGAAATTGAACCCAGGGCTGTATGTATGCTAGCAAGAGCTCTACCACTGAGCTACATATACATCTCCAGTCTTGCCTCTGTTTTCCTTTACTTCAACCTATTGTTTTGTCCCAGCTAGGGCTCAGGGCTCAGCAATATAGAAAGCACACTGATCAGAAGCACTTTCTTAATGTGGTACAAAACCTGGAACCCAAAGAAACAATTACTGATAATGCCGGACTCCAAAATCTGCCAAGTGGTATTTACACGCACACTTCGGTGTCTGTACAGTGGTAAGGTCTGCAGTTAGAAAACCTGCAGCCTCCAGCCACCTGAGACACTTCTCTGGGGTTTGAGGAGCTTAGAGAAGTATCCAGCCTCCCCTCCCCTTTCCTCATGAACATGGTCCAAGCGGTGAAACCTTCGCCCAAGCAGAGGGCAAATATTAGTTTGAAAACCAGCCGTTGCTCAGCCTTGCCTGGGCAGCCCATGCACTAAATGGGTCCATTCTTTGACTTGTGCTTCTTCTGCCCTCCCACCTCACCGCTCTTCTACACACCCTACAAGGATGCGGGGCCTCCAGCACTGGCACTGCCACAGGCCATGTAGGGCTGGAGATTTCCACGCCATGCAGGAGGCTGTGGGCAGGGCCCCTAGAAGCAGGGAAACCTCCTGCTCCTGGGAGGGGCAGGATGGGAAAATTAAAAAAACCTCAGTGGTGTCCAGAAGCAGGGAAGAGAATTAGAGCCAGCTGCCTGTTGATCATCAGCCAATATTTACTAAGCCCTCTGTGTCAGCGCCTGGGGGAGGAGGTTAGGAGGCCACAGACTGTAGCCAGGAACTACAGCAGGCCTGAGAAGGCTTATGTAGCCCCACGCTGAGCTCAGGGAGGGAGTAAACAGCAGCGGTGCATTCCCCAGCTCTGGCCCAGCTGCAGATCTGCAGGACACAGGGCATCCAAGAGTGACTGAGTCAGGCAGGCAGCAGGCAGGGAAGGGCCCGAGGGACCTGCCCATGCCCCACACCACCCAGGCCGGGAAAGTGTCAGCCCTCTTCTCGTATGTGTCCATCATCCATTCCCAGACACCAGATTGCAAAAGTCTGACCTGCTGTCCCTCTCTGTTGGCTCCTGTTGATCAGACCCCAGGCTCCAGTGTATGGCTTAGGAAACAAGGTGCCGCTCACATCTGCCACTTATGTCACCCACTTGAAGCAAAATTCCCCTGCTTGTTACTTAGGGTCAAATAAACAAACACTATGATCTCATGGCCTGATGAGAGAGCATGACAACTCCGGGTCCAAATGTGGCACCTGACAGTAATACAGCACGTGGGGCCCGCTCTGTTGAAGTGTGAAATGACCAAGCTGCAGAGCCACTCGTGAGACATGCTTTCAGGACACACAGCACAGCCCTTTGGGTCAGTCAGCTCCTCCTGGTTTCTTAACCTCTGGTGACAATGCCCTTGCCTCTCCTGGAACGCCTCTCAGAGCTCATCTCAGTTACCACCTCTTCCAGGAAGCCTTCTTGGATGGCTCTTAGCCCTTTTTCCCCACTACACTGGACACCTAACAACACTGTCTCCTTGGAAATTCCCTAGCTCAATTTTTCTTCCTTAAAGACAAAGGTCATCTGCTCCAACGCAGGCCTGGCACAGTACTGGGCACAAGGGGCTGGAAGCAGAACATTCCTGCTGGGACCTAAGAAGTGCAACTTCTCTGACTGACATCACATGGCTGCTACAGCCTGATAGACAGTGAGTGCAGCACGTGGGGCATCCCATGGCCCTGGGCCAGGTCTGCCCCGAATCACCGGAAGTTAGCCTACCATCTGTCTGTCTTCAGGACAATTCCTTAACCTTGAAGTTCATTTATACTAACTGGACTAAAACTAGCTTATACTACCAGAATGTTTTGAGACAGGGTCTCAGTATACATAGTTCAGGTTGATGGTGAATTATGTAACCTAGGCTGACCTCAGATTTGCAGCAATTTTCTTTCCTCAGCCTCCCAGGTGCTGGGATTACAAATGTGTACCACCATACCCAACTATATCTACCATATTTAATATGCAATCCAATCCAGGTGTGGTGGTACACACCTGCAATCCCAGCAGTCTAGGAGGCTGAGGTAGATGGATGGCAAGTTCAAGTCCAGCCTGGAAAATTTATTTTGATCCAATCTCCAAGTTAGGAATAGAGAAGAATGTGGTTTTTTACACAATGGAATACTACTCTGTCAAAAAGAAGGATAAGCTCAAGGTGTTTCTAGCTAAATGGTTACACCTTGAGGCCACACCATTAAGTGAAATAAATCAGACACATATTTAAATACTGTGTTGTTTCTCTAGCGTGAGAAACCAGAAAGGTGAATAAGGTCCAGAATGTATAATAGATACTGAGAAACAGAAAGAAATGTTCAAATGAGAAGGGGACCAAGGGAGGAGGAGAGAAAAAGAAATGAAGGGACAAGGAAAAGAATAGAAGGAAAAAATGGAAACAAAACTTTTGTAAATAAGGAGGGAAAGAGGTGTTGGAAAGAAAGAGGAGGGAATGGGAAAAAAGAACAAGATATATCATGCACAGGTACAAATCCCCTATGATAAATGTGATTATTATGTGTATCTAAAATGTACCAGTAAATTTTTTTAAATGCAAAAAAAAGAAAGAAAAAAGAAAAAAAAATCACCAGATGTGGTGGTATACACCTTTAATCCCAGGACTCAGGAGGCTGAGGCAAGAGGGCTGGCAAGAGTTCAAGCCCAGCCTGCACTACACAGGCAAACCCTATCTTGGGGTGGGGAGGAATCAATCATTCATCAATCAATACCTTTTTAAAAAATGAAAGGAGCTGGGTGTGGTGGTGCATGCCTGTAATCCCAGCACTTGGGAGGCTGCAAGAGGATCATTTTGAGTTTGAGATCAGCCTAGGCTACAAAGTGAGAAAGTGAGCTCAAGTCCAGCCTGAACTGCATAGCGAGACTATCACAAAAGAAGTAACACCCCGCCAAAAAAAAAAAAAAAAAAAAAAACAGGGGCCAGGAAGATGGCTCAGTGGAATAAGCACTTCCCTGGCAAGCTCAAAGGCCTGAGTTCAATCCCCGGTTTCCCCAAAAAAAAAAAAAAAAAGGAAAATAAAAAAAACAACCCAAAGGCACACTAGCATCTGGATGCAGAGGCATGTAGTTCCAGCGTTCTGGGAGGCTGAGACAGAGGATCACAAGTTTGAGCCCAGCCTGCGCAACTTAAGGGAGACTCTTTCTCAAAATACAGCAGGAAAATTAAGCTGAGCCAGGGCAAAGCTCCATGCAAAGGCCCTGGGCTTAATCCTCAGTACTGGAACAATGCAAAAGTTCATTCATTTACTAAACACTCCTCGCCTGCCAAATCCCTTCCCTTCCACAGAAGAAAACTCACCCTCATGAGCACAGCACAGGAGGGCTGGGAGGTTGGCTGGGTGATGTAGGCAGAGGTAGCTTCTGCAGGATAGTAAGTGGGCAGGAGGCGCAGTGGAGGAGCAGAAGCAGCGGCTCAGGCCGAGCTCCCGGGCTGCTCCCAGGACCGCGGTGCGGAACTGGGCTGCCAAGGAGCTTTGGCCTCTGCTGCTACTGGGCAGCAACTGCATGAGGAAGCCACCCGCTCCAGAATTATGCCACACTGCCGGGGCCACGCCAGCAAAGGGGATGTCCCAGGATCTGCCCCAGGGCGGTGGCCAACTTCTTCCCACCAGCCAGGAATAAGCACATCTAACTGGCAGAATCTGAATCATACTGGGGATTTCACAGCAAAAACATCTGGAAAAAGCAAGTTTTTTGGAATTTTTGGGGGCGTGTGTGTGTGTGTGTGTGTGTGTGTGTGTGTGTGTGTGTGTTTGGCGTTAAGGATCAAACCCAGGGCTAGCAAAGGCTAGGTGAGCTACACAGCAGCCCTGACACATCCAGCTTCTGATTGTCCTTTAGCAGGGCGGGACGTAATGCAATACACACAGGAGGTGCCATTTCAGAACAGGCTAGGACCCCAGGAGTAACCCGGTTACCTTAGTGTGGACAACCAGAGAGCAAACGAGCCGGCGGGTACCATACACTCTCGGGTGTGCCAGGCCCAGCGCAGGGAGTGGCAGGAAGTGAAGCTCGCAGCACAGGTGACGTCGGAGGCCAGAGCAGCTCCCCCAGTGAAATGCTCCAGCTGAGACCTGTGAGACACACAAAGCGAGTTCAGCGAAGGGGACGCCAGGTGGTGGGTACTCCAGGATTCGCAGCTGTGTTTGGATACTGGCAGGCTGAGCATGGTGCACACACCCATAATTCCAGCATTCAGGAGGCTGAGGCAGGAAGATCGCCACAGGTTCCCAGCCAGTCTGGACTATAAGCATAGCGAGACTGTCCTTAAAAATTAAGTACAATAAAATGCAAAGCAAAATGAAAAACATTGAGACTCAGTGAAGATGGCACATGTTATGGACTTAGTGTCCACAGTGGCTTACATAAGAACCTGCAGGGAGTGAAAAACAGCCTACAAAAGTGGAGCAGGGACCACTCTGCAGGCACGTGAACATGGCTGAACTTTATCCAGGGGACAGGGAGCTCATTTTTAAAAAGGAACATCCAGGTTCAGTGTCATCTGCTTGTTTTTGCAGTGCTAGGGATCAAACCCAGAGCCTTGTACATGCCAGGCAAGCGCTCTGTCACTGTTACATCCCCAGCTTGGCTGTTGTCTGGAGAATGGCCAGGAACTGGGGAACCAGGCAGAAGTCTCCCCAGCTGTGCTGGTGGAAACTTGAGGGCAACGCTCCTTCCTGTCAGTTCTGGGCTTCCCAGCAACCCTGCCTAGGGCTGTGCCCTCTCCCCCCCCCCACCCACTGGAGAATGGACAGGTCCCTTGCCAGAGGACACAAGCAGAGCTTAGAAAAGACCAGCTCCAACTGCCACGGCAGTGCATACCAGTAATCCTAGCACTTGGGAGGTTGAGACAAGAAGATCACTCAGTTTGAGACCAGTGAGAGGACTATAGAGTAAGTTCAAGGCCAGTCTGAACTTCTGAGAGCCTGTCTCAAAAAAGACAACAAAGACCACCACCATCTATCACCTGAGCACTGTGTCAACTGTGCTCAGTTCTCTTGCTGTGCAGGTGGGTCATCTGGAAACTCCAGCTCTCCCTGGTAATACTGTGGGCAAAAAAACCCCTGAAGGCAGGATTGTCTGCCCAATCTCTGATCTTGCAAACCAGCTCTCGCCCATGCCTCGACCCAGGCTCCCAGCTCCGGTCCAGCAGGGCCCCAGGCTGAGATACCAAGTCATGTGCGATCACATGTCCAAGAAAGTGGTTCTCGAAGTATGGCCCCAAGACAGCATCACCAGCATGGGGGGCCTGTTCCTACACCTCTTGGCAACCCTAGCTGACTAATTCAGAATCTCAGGGTTCAGCAAGGCAGGCTCTAATCAAAGGTCCAAGGTGATCAAAGTGCACCTTGAGGCCTTAGGTCTGCAGCTCTTGGAGAAGGAGCCAGAGTTCCATTTCAGACCCCAGAACCAAGGGGAAAAGAGGGGAAGGCTGGTGTGGTGCTGCACAACTGTAATCCCTAATAAATGAACCCTACCCTTAGAAGAAAGGCTACTGAAAATGAGAAGGGGAAAACCCCTTATTTCCAAGTTGGACAAGAAAAGTAGCAGCACAGGAGATTGAGTAATCACACTCATGAATCAGAATTCCTCCACTCTCCCCTAGCTTCCCCTCCACTGTCCCAGCCTCCTACGCAGCACAGCCTCCAGCCAAGGTCACAGGCTGCCCCATCTGGTTACCAAGGTGAAGGCCTGCACAGGGCTCACGTGAGCCACCCTTCTGCCTACAACCGACCGCAGGCTCCAGACACCTGGGTCTCCTCTCCAGTCCCCAGATGGCAGTGCTCATATCACCCCTGCCCCCCACTGCCCTCACCTAGCAGTAGAGCACACCTGAGCTCTGCGCAGGCCCAGAGCACTCACCCTACCTGCCACTGCAAACCCAGACCCACTGCACCCCACCTCTCCCCATCACCACAGCAGGGTGCTGTGTGGGAAATCAGGAGGCTCTGCCAGAAGTCAGAGAGCACAGCCCCATCAGGAAGCTGCCTTCCTCCTGGCTTCCACATCAGGTTGTCTCAGAATGCCAGGCCCATACCCTGAGGTCACAGTTTTGGTTGTTTCCTACCAGTCTGCAAAGGTTAACCCAGCATAACTCTCCCTCCCTAGATACTGCAGGTGAGTGTTGGCCTTCGCCAAGGGTGCAGTGTGTAGGAGCACAGGGTCAAGGGCAGCACCATAAGGTCATCTTCCAGAGGTGCAAAGGAGCCCATGACGCCTGGCCATCTACCCTCTAGAGTCCCCATCTCTGCCAGGGCCACAGCTCTGCAGAGGAGCTGTCCCGAGAGCATACAAGAGCACACAGATGGCTTCCAAAGCAAGGGCAGTGGGTTGCACCTGCAGTCCATGGAGCGATAAACCAGTGTCATGTGTTACAGGGCAGGAGTACCCAGTCTTAAGTTCTCTGTTTTCTAGACAATGGGGTACAAAAGAAGTGACTCTACTAACAACACAACCCTATACACATGTATCTCCACTGCCCTTCTGCTTCCCCACCCGCTCTTTTTTTTTTTTTTTTGTTCAGCCCACCAGGGGAGCGTGTGTGTGTGTGTTTTTGGCCAGTTCAGCCCACCAGGGGGCAGGGCTGGCTGGCATGTGGTGCTGGGGGATTGAACCGCGGTCCCTGTGCTTTGCTAAGATTGTTCTAAGTAGGTGCTTTTAGACCACTGAGCCATCTCACCAGCCCCTCCACACCCACTCTTTAAAAAGGGATCGACATTCTCCCCAGACTTAGTGGCTTACTCACCCTGCTCAACGCCAAGCCCAGGAACTGTCACACAGAAAGGCATCCTGGCTTGTGCATGCTCCAGTTCATGTGGCTTCAACCCCACTTAGAAAAAAGGAAGACCGGACAGAGAATTCTTAGGACAGCACTGTTCACCAAACCCATCAGCAACAGAGTAGATGGATCAAGTTGATTCCAAGTTCGGGGTAACAATCTCGCTTTGTGTCCTTCTCTTTCTTGGAGACCTCCCCTGGTAAGACTGGAAGGGGGCCTCTGCCTAGGAAGTCACTGCACTGCACAATCCCTGGGGACAAGAGCCTGCTCAAATTTTCCTAGTAAAGCCCACGGTGCCCAAGGAATTCAAGTGGCAGAAATGCTGCAATGCTAGCTGAAATAAACTGAAACCCCTCAACCACTCTTGCAGTCTTCCTTAGCATGCAGTCCTCTGGTCACCAGCATAATAAACAGAGACAGCAAGGGTCCAAATCTGAAGTCCACAGCTGGGTGTAGAGGCACAGGCCCACAATACGAGCTACCTCTAGGCTGAGGTGGGAGGAGTCTAAACTCCAGCCCAGGCTCAGCGACTTAGCAAGATCCTGCCTTAAAAAAAATACACAAATGATAGATATACAGCTATTTCCTGTTAGTTCATTGAGAAGAAAGGTTTGTACTAATACTGTTTAGACAAGATATCATGTCTGCATCTTGTCCTCCGGATTACTACTACAAAGACAACAATATGCAATGTTTTTTTTTGTTTTTTGTTTGTAACCGGGGCTTGAACTCTGGCCCTTGAGCTTGCCAGGGAAGCACTTATTCTACTGAGCCATCTCCCTGGCTCCTATGCAATGTATTATAACCATCCCATTAACCTGTTCTGAAACTGTTTCATTGCTATTTTATCTTTTTTCATTAAAATGAATTTTAAAAAATTTTTTAAAGGCAAGTGCAAGGGCAAGCACAAGGGCCTGACTTCAATCCCCAGTACCGCAAAAAAAAAAAAAAAAAGGGGGATGGGGATAGAGCTCACTAAGTTGAAACTCCTTTATCAAAACAAAAATAACACAAGTAACAAAAATTTAAGTAGTCAAGCATGGTAGTAATCCCATGCCTGTAATCCCAGCACTTCGTAGGTCTAGGGAGGATCTCTGTGAGCTTGAAGCCAGCCTGAACTAGTGAGACCTGTCTCAAACAAACAAGTTTTTGCTTTTTATGTATAATCCGTCTGCTCCTATCAGACTATACACTCCACATGGTGGAGACGGGGCCAAGTTGGTTCTCGGAGCCTGGCATCATGCCAGTCCCCAAAGATCAGCTGAAAGAATGTGTGACTTCTCACTGCCAAAATATGGGCACCAGAGTTTTACTGCTTCTGGGTCTCTATTCCCTGGAACTACGCAGGGGTAGAGGAAGGGCCTCTCCTGCACAGGGGTCCTTCAGAATCTGGAGCTGGATTATAAAACTCAAAGTGGGAGGGACCCAAAGGAAGGTGGGGGAGAGGCAGCACAGGCTGGTCGTGCCCTCCCCACAACTGTGAGAACAAAGGTGCCCAGGATGGCAGGTGTCTGATGATGCCACCAAGAATAACATTTTCACTTTGGTCACATCAGGGGAAGGAAAAGGGGAGAACACGGGTCCGGGCTGATTCTGGGCCTCTGGGTGGCTCATGGAAACTCTGAGTCTCACTGCCTTGCACACACCGCCCCTTTCCAAGTGTGGAGGTGGGGAGCAAGGTCACAGCCCGTGGCCCACAGTGCCCTGGATGTGAGGAGGGCTGCCGCAGAAGGGCTGGAAAAGGGGCATGGGCGGCCTGTGGTCGGCTGCCAGGTCTGGAGGAACGGGTGACTTTGTACTTTTTCCACCTTTCTGGGAAGGGAGACAAGAACTTCATGGCTGGCTGCCTGGCAACTACCCAGGGCCCCGGCCCCTGAGAACTGGCCCCACCTTTCAGATGGAGCAAGTCCAATGTGGGGGAAGTGAACAGCAGGGAAACTGATAGGTCAGGGAATGCCACATGGTCAGGGGCAGAGAGCATGGAACACCATCAGGGACAGAGGAGAGCAGGCCATGTCCCCACAGACAACAGGGCTACAACTGGCCCAAGCTTCTGGACTCTGTGCTAAGAAAACAGTACCATTGGGGGCCGGTCCAGGAGCCTCTGGCTTCCAGGAACAAGCCGGGAGCATACCCAAAAGTCCAAGGCTCTCCAGGCCAATAGACCCTTTGGGGTTTCCAGGAAAGAAAGTGAAAGAACCCAGCCACTCAGATCTGCTACCCCTGCCGGGCTTCCCCCAGCCCCAGCAATCCCTGGAGAGAGGTGAGCTTCAGAGGCCAGGCACTGCAAGGTGA